TGTGTGGGAAGCCAGGATCTGCTGACTGCACATATAAATGTCTGCTTGAGTAACCTGGTTTTAAAGTTACGATACAACAATTCAAGTGTCAGAGCTCTGGGCGGCACAGGCAGACTGCTGATACAACAGTTGCCGACTATGACAATCCCATAACAATGGAGCTTGTCTTTACTCCACAGGTTACCTGAGTGTTGAAAGGCGACAGGAGCGATTAGTGGAGTGCTGAGGTGATAGAGGATTCGTAACAAACAGCAGGACATATACAGGCCTCTCTGTTCTTACACCTTCTCTCTGTTACTGCTCATGAATTCAGCACTTGAAAAGACATTAGAGGGAGGCATGTGTGGACGCATGCTGACAGACAGAGAGCTACTATAGTAAAGGAAAAGATGGTACCAAATAAAAGCAACATACTTTTGCATGTGGGGGTTCACCTAAGTGCCTATGTTCAGTGTGTGTATCAGAATTGTTTTCTCTGAAGGGCCCTGCATTAAAACACTAGAAAATCAGCAGCAGAGGCAACATGACTCATGGACCATCTAAAATCTCCAGGGAATTTGTACTTGTGTTCTCACAGCACATTGCAGACAATCATTTATACTCATTTGGGAGTTCATCTCTGAAAAAATCTCTGAAATAGAGTTTGATGCAAATGTGAACAGAACAATGGAAGTTCACTACAGACTGCACTGAAGAGAAAAAAGAAAAATCTCCTAAAAGCCTCAAATAATAAGCAATCTTAGAATGCAAATGGAAGATAGACAGTTATTATCTTGAGAGAAAGTAAAAATCATGAAACTCTCCTTTGACTCTGGCCTATGCAGGAAAAAGCAGTAACTTTGGCCTTACAGTAAAATACATGGAATATATCTTATGGGCTAAAAGAAACTGCATATTAAACCATTCCAAACCTGTATTTCCATTCACTCATGGAAAACAAAAGGAGAAGAATGATCAAGCTGCTCTCTTCTATGCAATGCAATTTTGGAGGCTGTCAAACATCAAAAAAGAAAAAAAAAAATCATAATATCAGTAGTCCATATATGTCACTATATTCCAAGTCTACTGAAGGCATATGATAGCTTTGTGTAAGGAGCAGACCAAAACTTAAGAATAATATGGTTTGATAGTGGTGGTCACCATTAACTTTCTATACATGTTTTTGTCATTTTTATTAATATATATTTTAATTGTCTATACAGTTCTCCTATTAATTTTTATTTCAGTTTTAGTTATTTTAGTAAAAATAAAAGACAATGAGAAATCACGACTACTAAATACTGAGCAAAGGGTCTGAATATTTAGGACCATGTGATATTTCAGTTTTTCTTTTTTAATACATCTGCAAAAATGTCAACAATTCTGTGTTTTTCTGTCAATATGGGGTGCTGTGTGTACATTAATGAGGAAAAAAATTAACTTAAATGATTTTAGCAAATGGCTGCAATATAACAAAGAGTGAAAAATTTAAGGGGGTCTGAATACTTTCCGTACCCACTGTAGCTAAAATAAAATAAGTTTGTTTTTTTTAATGTTTTAAGTTAACATTTATTTGAAGTAACAGATTTAAAAAAAAAATTTTTTTTAATAATTTTAGTCTTCGTTTTTGTTTTAGTTAATGATAACACTGGAAAGGATGCTCTACGCTCCTTATATATTTGAGATAAGAGTTTCTTTTCAAAATCTTCCCTCAAAAAGCAGACAATTAGGTATCAAATTTCCTAAGCACAAACTCTGACATCCCTTGTATTTGTCTTTCTTACCAACCGGAATTATATGATTAAATTATCTTTTGACTCAAGTAAATTATGCTCTCAGGGGCGCGAGTCGATGAGGATTGTTTCCAGACTCTTTAAATGAACTGGATTTCTGTCTCTCCACGGAGCTCACTCGACTGTCTGTGCGAGGTGATTGGCATCTCACTCATTCCTGGTGAAAAACAGCTGCCTGCTGTTTGAGCTAGTTAAGACCCCTGAGCACAGGACAGGCATGAATACTCTCTGCTCGGAAACATATTTCTACAGGTATACAGTTGCTTACAAAAAGTCAAAGCAATGCCTAGAAATAGGAAACAAAATGGTCTTAATTACTTATTCTATGCCTATCAATCATAGACATTAAAGCTGTCACATCAATTGTTGAAATTATATCAGGCACTGTGTGAAGCAGCAACAGTTGAAAATGAAATCAAGGAAACACAGGAAGTACTGCAATACTGTTATTCCTTTGACAAGTATATTTTTTGTCATGCATAGTGGATTACAATTTTGAATGCTTCAAAAGAGAGTGTGAAAACAGTTCTCAGCATCCTTACAGGATTGGCTGATGGAAATTAGAAAAAACAAGGTTTTATTGACATGTTGAGTAGAGCAAGACAAGGAATTTCCCCTTTTCTTACTCATCTTTTCTTTGCCTCTCTACTTAATGTTGTCAATAAAACCCTGTTTGGTTTCAATGCATTGGCTGCATAACTACCAAAAAAGTTCTACTCAAATATTTCAATATTACATAAATAAAAAAGATGCTTTTCACAATTGGCATGTTAAAGGTGAAAGGTTGTCTTCCAGTTGTGTGGAAAATACACCCAAGGTTACCTTCAGTGGGGTTGACAGCTGCCGGCAGGCTCTCCCAATCAACTGTCCATGTAGGGCAAGGGTGAGCAGAGTAAACAGCGTCTATTCCATTCTCCTGCAGGACAAAAGAACATATAAACACAGGTTAAACCATAGAATACCGACAGAAGCCTCCAGGCAAGAGCTTTTTATTGAAGCTGACTACTTTTCACACTTCCTCAGAACACCTGAGACAAGGTGGTAATTAAATCAGGACCCAGTTACGGAGCAGTTCAACCCACTTTAGAAACTCCTTTAAAGGTTGAAGTCCTACAATTGATTTGACATTTTTCCTAGTTGGTACTTAATAATCAAAGAGATGGGAATGGGTAAAAAGTGTGCTATGTTGATTATTCCACATTGAGAATATGAGATACAAACCAAGTACTAATAGATACAATGCAACAGACACAGAAGTCAATATATGGTGTTGTGTTGGGGATTTTTTAGTTAGTCACCCGTTTAGAATTAAATTAACCTGAAATACCAAACAAACTCATGTGGAACGGGGTGAAGGAAATGTTTTTTGTTTAACAAAACATACAGGCAATAAGCAATTAAAGGAATAATTCAAGCATTCAAGTTTGTTTCTTCTTATTTTTAACACCTGGTGGTGTTTTGTCTTTGTGTGTATGACTGATCCTGTTTTATGCACACGGAACTCTGATTCATCTTGTGCCTTTCTACTGTAACACCTGGTAACATTACAGTGGTTGGGACATTTTAAATTAAAAAGCAGATTTTGGCAGTTAAACTCAGCATCTTAAAATTGTATCACTTAATGAAATATATGGTTTTAAGTTAAATACAGCAGAATTTTTTTTGTAGCCTTGGCCAGATCTGTGCCTTGCCACAATTCTGTCTCTGAGCTCTTCAGGCAGTTCCTTTGACCTCATGATTCTCATTTGCTCTGACATGCACTGTGAGCTGTAAGGTCTTATATAGACAGGTGTGTGGCTTTTCTAATCAAGTCCAATCAGTATAATCAACCACAGCTGGACTCAAATGAAGGTGTAGAACCATCTCAAGGATGATCGGAAGAAATGGACAGCACCTGAGTTAAATATTTGAGTGTCACAGCAAAGGGTCTGAATACTTAGGATCATGTGATATTTCAGTTTTTCTTTTTTAATACATCTGCAAAAATGTCAACAATTCTGTGTTTTTCTGTCAATATGGGGTGCTGTGTGTACATTAATGAGGAAAAAAATTAACTTAAATGATTTTAGCAAATGGCTGCAATATAACAAAGAGTGAAAAATTTAAGGGGGTCTGAATACTTTCCGTACCCACTGTAGCTAAAATAAAATAAGTTTGTTTTTTTAATGTTTTAAGTTAACATTTATTTGAAGTAACAGATTTAAAAAAAAAATTTTTTTTAATAATTTTAGTCTTCGTTTTTGTTTTAGTTAATGATAACACTGGAAAGGATGCTCTACGCTCCTTATATATTTGAGATAAGAGTTTCTTTTCAAAATCTTCCCTCAAAAAGCAGACAATTAGGTATCAAATTTCCTAAGCACAAACTCTGACATCCCTTGTATTTGTCTTTCTTACCAACCGGAATTATATGATTAAATTATCTTTTGACTCAAGTAAATTATGCTCTCAGGGGCGCGAGTCGATGAGGATTGTTTCCAGACTCTTTAAATGAACTGGATTTCTGTCTCTCCACGGAGCTCACTCGACTGTCTGTGCGAGGTGATTGGCATCTCACTCATTCCTGGTGAAAAACAGCTGCCTGCTGTTTGAGCTAGTTAAGACCCCTGAGCACAGGACAGGCATGAATACTCTCTGCTCGGAAACATATTTCTACAGGTATACAGTTGCTTACAAAAAGTCAAAGCAATGCCTAGAAATAGGAAACAAAATGGTCTTAATTACTTATTCTATGCCTATCAATCATAGACATTAAAGCTGTCACATCAATTGTTGAAATTATATCAGGCACTGTGTGAAGCAGCAACAGTTGAAAATGAAATCAAGGAAACACAGGAAGTACTGCAATACTGTTATTCCTTTGACAAGTATATTTTTTGTCATGCATAGTGGATTACAATTTTGAATGCTTCAAAAGAGAGTGTGAAAACAGTTCTCAGCATCCTTACAGGATTGGCTGATGGAAATTAGAAAAAACAAGGTTTTATTGACATGTTGAGTAGAGCAAGACAAGGAATTTCCCCTTTTCTTACTCATCTTTTCTTTGCCTCTCTACTTAATGTTGTCAATAAAACCCTGTTTTGTTTCAATGCATTGGCTGCATAACTACCAAAAAAGTTCTACTCAAATATTTCAATATTATATAAATAAAAAAGATGCTTTTCACAATTGGCATGTTAAAGGTGAAAGGTTGTCTTCCAGTTGTGTGGAAAATACACCCAAGGTTACCTTCAGTGGGGTTGACAGCTGCCGGCAGGCTCTCCCAATCAACTGTCCATGTAGGGCAAGGGTGAGCAGAGTAAACAGCGTCTATTCCATTCTCCTGCAGGACAAAAGAACATATAAACACAGGTTAAACCATAGAATACCGACAGAAGCCTCCAGGCAAGAGCTTTTTATTGAAGCTGACTACTTTTCACACTTCCTCAGAACACCTGAGACAAGGTGGTAATTAAACCAGGACCCAGTTACGGAGCAGTTCAACCCACTTTAGAAACTCCTTTAAAGGTTGAAGTCCTACAATTGATTTGACATTTTTCCTAGTTGGTACTTAATAATCAAAGAGATGGGAATGGGTAAAAAGTGTGCTATGTTGATTATTCCACATTGAGAATATGAGATACAAACCAAGTACTAATAGATACAATGCAACAGACACAGAAGTCAATATATGGTGTTGTGTTGGGGATTTTTTAGTTAGTCACCCGTTTAGAATTAAATTAACCTGAAATACCAAACAAACTCATGTGGAACGGGGTGAAGGAAATGTTTTTTGTTTAACAAAACATACAGGCAATAAGCAATTAAAGGAATAATTCAAGCATTCAAGTTTGTTTCTTCTTATTTTTAACACCTGGTGGTGTTTTGTCTTTGTGTGTATGACTGATCCTGTTTTATGCACACGGAACTCTGATTCATCTTGTGCCTTTCTACTGTAACACCTGGTAACATTACAGTGGTTGGGACATTTTAAATTAAAAAGCAGATTTTGGCAGTTAAACTCAGCATCTTAAAATTGTATCACTTAATGAAATATATGGTTTTAAGTTAAATATACAACCGACAATCCCGTTATACCCAAAACATTGTCACATTATTTTTTATGGTGAATTTTTAGCCAAATTTTTACTGTAAATTAAACAGGATATTTTTTATATTAAATGGTAATTATCACTTGTGGGCTGCTTTTCCTTCACTATCTATCTTGTTGGATGCTTTTCTTTCACTATCTATTATAAAACATTATTAATTCAATTGTGTACAAAACTAGCAAAAAGGTGTGTAAGGTCATAATTGTACATTCATTTATGCATACTTGTAAATAAAGTGAAAATTTTTTATGGTGAATTTTTAGCCAAATTTTTACTGTAAATTAAACAGGATATTTTTTATATTAAATGGTAATTATCACTTGTGGGCTGCTTTTCCTTCACTATCTATCTTGTTGGATGCTTTTCTTTCACTATCTATTATAAAACATTATTAATTCAATTGTGTACAAAACTAGCAAAAAGGTGTGTAAGGTCATAATTGTACATTCATTTATGCATACTTGTAAATAATTGAAAAAATTAGAGCCTGACCGATATATCGTTTTGCTGATATTATCGGCCGATATGAGCCTGTTGCCGATATATCTGTATCAGCGAATATGCCGTCGATATGAATTTTTTTTTACAGAACATATAACGCAGATAAAATGCTTGAAATGGTGTAATTACTTAGTTTGTCCAGCAGAGCGCGCTCCATTGTTTGCTACTGGCGACCTGGATGAAACGCTTTAAAGCTTAAGTCTATGGAAAACCATTAAAACTTTGAACGGCCATATCTCCATAACGGCGCTGCGAATCCACACCAAATTCAGGGGATCCCTTCAGTTCGAGGAAACCTCTCGAACACGATTTGAGTGTACGTCTAGAGGCCCGCTTTCGAATGAGACCACCCCCGCGTCGATAGCTCCCGGGGTTCGGGAGTTACGGGTGGTTAAATTAGTGGTCCGGCGCCGACCGATCAAGCGATCCCGGGGGGCTACCGACGCGCAGAGGGTGGCATTCGAGAGGGCTCCTCAGCTGAAGGGATCCCCTGAATTTGGTGGATATCCGCCGGCGCGTTCACGAAACAGTGACACCAGTCAACACTTTCACTTCAGTAAGGAGGTCTCTTGTTCAGGCAGCAGCCTCCATTACGTATCTTTGTCACGTCATTATAAGTGTTTGATCACCACATTTGAGTGATCATTGCAAAAAATGTGTTTATGTATATACTGTATTCTATATATAGTACCAGTCAAATGTTTTGACCCTCGAATTGGAAAGTGTCCAAACTTTTGACTGGTACTGTACTATAATATACACAAAGAATATCGGCCGAAATATCGATATCTGCCTTTTTTTACTCCCTAATATCGGTATCGGCCCCAAAAAAAACCTATATCGGTTGGGCTCTAGAATTTTTTTTTACAAAAACATGTTACCATAATACTAAAACCCAGTCTAATAATGGACAGCTTAGTATTCCTAATATCACTGCAAATCTGAATATTGCATTATCTTTTATATAGTTTATTTTAAAAATAATTTATTTTCCTTCTTGCAATGAAGGCACATTTTCAAATTTGCAATAAAAACTTTAGAATCCTACAAATCTTGGCTTCTGATTGGTCAACACAACATTACAGACATGCTAAAATGAACAATATAATATAATGCTGTGCGTCATGCCTAACGACACCCTTTAGCCGCACCTCAATTCACAAATCGTATTAATTCTCTCTTAAACCACCAAATGGAGCTTGTGAGATGCTCTTGGTCATTGATTTAGAATTTAGGTCTGGTTCTGGTTGTTAAACAGTAGCTAGTGAGGGTGCATCTCTGTTTGCTGCTCTGCCATTACAAATCCAGGCTGGCCATAAGGTTTGGCTCCACAGATGAAAATGTAATTTGCTCTAAAGCAATAAGCCACCAGCAACAGCTGCAGAGCAGACCTAAAGCAGAAAGCACGCAGCCTGGAAAATCCCAGCGGACTGCTATGCATTAAGAGAGCCTGCTGAGCTCCAACACATTCACACACACCAAATTGATATCCACTAGCGTGACGGGAAATATCTGATTTATAGTTGCAGAATGCCAGAGTTGGCAAAAACCAAACACACACACACAAAAAAATCTGGAAGAGAAGTTCTGCAGCAGGCCTGAAAACTTGACGGCAGCTGTGTGCTTTTATCACCTGCTGGGGACTCGAATATAGCATTGTGGTCCAGGGCAGACAGAAAAGAGACCCAGCATTGTTACTCTGTTTGCCTCTCCTGCGGGAATCATACAGCAGAAGTGTACGAGACCACTGCGGACTCTTTACTCATTATCGGCAGATTTTGGCACCGATGAAGTGTTGGAGTTTGTAGGCCGTTTAGATGCTGGGTAAATCAGCAGGTCTGCTATGGAAGTGGTGGGAAATTGAATAAGAAGGCAAAAGACCGCACAGGAGGTTATGGACTGAATCAGCGGTTCCTCCTGGGAAAAAGAGAGCCCTCATCAGGACAGAGTAATGATGTCACAAGCTGAGCTTTCCATGAAATACAGCCTTATGGGTGCATTATTATCTGGAAAGGTGAGAAACATGGGGGTCTGTGACTACAGAAAGTGATTCATCAATAAAAAAACAACAATAAGGTTTGCTTTTGTGCTGCATTACAAAGTTTTAAAATTGGTGGGAAAAGCACAAACTTGTACAGAGGTACAAGGGTTAACAGCACTCAAAAAGTATGTTGTACAGTGGACCCAAACCAATTTGAACACTATATCCACACAAAAAAAAAATGGAATTAGGTGAACTATAATTATATTAGGTGAAAATAATCATTTCTTTCAGAGTTTTGTTATAATGCATCACTGTTAATTAAATGAAAACGTGGTGCGCATGATTCTTGAAGGCAATGAAGATAAATGAAACTGGTACTACTGGTATTATTTTTTATAATAAAATTAATGGACCAAAATATGAAACTCCTTTAATTGTTCTTTTTAATCAGGGAAGACTTGAGTTTTGAGAGCCATTTGTGTTCAAGGCCACAATACCAACTCGTTTTCAATGAAAACTGTTCAATAAAAACAAATCCTAATATTTAATACCTAGTTGCACTACAGTTCAAAAGTGTGGGATTGGTAAGATTTTTTATGTTTTGAAAGAAGTCTCTTATGCTCACCAAAGCTGCATTTATTTGATCAAAAATACAGTAAAACAGTGAAATATTATTTCAATTTAAAAGAATGGTTTTCTATTTGAATATATTTTAAAATGTAATTTATTGCTGTGATGCAAAGCTGAATTTCCAGCATCATTACTCCAGTCTTCAGTGTCACGTGATCCTTCAGAAATCATTCTAATATGCTGATTTGCTGCTCAAGAAACATTTATCATCATCAAGGATGAGCAGCTGCAGAATTAAAAAAATTGTAACAATGTAAAATTATTTACTGTGACTTTTGAGCAATTTAATGCAACCTTGCTGAAAAGTATCAAGTTCTTTCAAAAATATAAACTTACTGACTCCAAACCTTTGAACAGTAGTGTATATATTGTACAGATACTGAACACTGTGCCTGTAAAAATCTAGAGGGAAATTAAATAACTATACAATTAAACACATTTTTTGGTGTTTGTAGTTGCCACTTACTTTATTTTTAAATTGTGAGCATAGCGATGATATTAATAATTGTGATTTACAGCCTGCAGAAGTGTGAAGAACAACAAAATTCATATTTATTTTATGCAATGTCTTATTTTTATGAAGAAAAATAAGCAAATTTGCACTGAACTCATGTTTCACATGTTCTTTCGATCTGCTGAAGCATGAAATTAGGTTACTGTGATCACATATCTTTTTACATAAAGCTCATGAATGCTTTCTTTTATTACGGATATTTCATGATAAACGTAAGCATTTCATTATATGTTAAAGTTTACCCTCCACATTTAATTTACCACAACTAATGAACGTCAGACTCACAGCTGAAAGAAATCGCAGTGCTTGTCGGAGTCAGACAGCCCCGTAATACCAGCTTCCTTAAAGTATCAAGCGGCAGGGAGTCCCATCAGTTAAGAGCGAGTCAGTACGGCTACTGTTCTGCCTCGCTGGAGTGCATAAATCCTTTATCATCATGGTTCAGGCCCGCTGTGGCACAGAGGGCTGCCGTAAAGGGACGAGAGCACAGCACTGAACATATTGAGAGCGGATCGCTGTTTAGGGATTATGTGAGTTCACCACTGACAGGTTTAGAGAAGCGCTTCTGTGCACAGCATGTGTGATCTCCTTCCATGTGAGGGAAAAGTTAGGGGAAGAGGAACGAGGAGAATCAAATAAGAGAGCGGGAGAAAGAGAAAGTGAGTGAAATTCAATTACTTGCAGTTTGGTGAGAGTTGGTCGCGGTCCCCCGATGAAGGGCTCTTGCTCGAGTTGTGGCCCTTCCTGCTCTGCTCCACTGGGTTGTGGATTCTCCGGCTGGGGAGGGCAAGGGTCGGCCGTGCTGAGACTGAGGAGGGCCATACCACAATCCTTTGCGGCCCTCAGTACGCTGGGGAGCTCCTGTACACGCTGGTACCATCTCAGCAGCAAGGGGAGATGGGAAAGGGTGGAGGGGGTGTGCTTTTGGAGCGAGATCTGGAATGGAAAGACATAATAAAATATGTAAAAAAATAATCAATGTATGGCTATGAAATTCACATATGAAATTATACTTTGCTTTAAGAAAATGATGACATTTGTGACCCTGGAATCATCAAGGATGAGCAGCTGCAGAATTAAAAAAATTGTAACAATGTAAAATTATTTACTGTGACTTTTGAGCAATTTAATGCAACCTTGCTGAAAAGTATCAAGTTCTTTCAAAAATATAAACTTACTGACTCCAAACCTTTGAACAGTAGTGTATATATTGTACAGATACTGAACACTGTGCCTGTAAAAATCTAGAGGGAAATTAAATAACTATACAATTAAACACATTTTTTGGTGTTTGTAGTTGCCACTTACTTTATTTTTAAATTGTGAGCATAGCGATGATATTAATAATTGTGATTTACAGCCTGCAGAAGTGTGAAGAACAACAAAATTCATATTTATTTTATGCAATGTCTTATTTTTATGAAGAAAAATAAGCAAATTTGCACTGAACTCATGTTTCACATGTTCTTTCGATCTGCTGAAGCATGAAATTAGGTTACTGTGATCACATATCTTTTTACATAAAGCTCATGAATGCTTTCTTTTATTACGGATATTTCATGATAAACGTAAGCATTTCATTATATGTTAAAGTTTACCCTCCACATTTAATTTACCACAACTAATGAACGTCAGACTCACAGCTGAAAGAAATCGCAGTGCTTGTCGGAGTCAGACAGCCCCGTAATACCAGCTTCCTTAAAGTATCAAGCGGCAGGGAGTCCCATCAGTTAAGAGCGAGTCAGTACGGCTACTGTTCTGCCTCGCTGGAGTGCATAAATCCTTTATCATCATGGTTCAGGCCCGCTGTGGCACAGAGGGCTGCCGTAAAGGGACGAGAGCACAGCACTGAACATATTGAGAGCGGATCGCTGTTTAGGGATTATGTGAGTTCACCACTGACAGGTTTAGAGAAGCGCTTCTGTGCACAGCATGTGTGATCTCCTTCCATGTGAGGGAAAAGTTAGGGGAAGAGGAACGAGGAGAATCAAATAAGAGAGCGGGAGAAAGAGAAAGTGAGTGAAATTCAATTACTTGCAGTTTGGTGAGAGTTGGTCGCGGTCCCCCGATGAAGGGCTCTTGCTCGAGTTGTGGCCCTTCCTGCTCTGCTCCACTGGGTTGTGGATTCTCCGGCTGGGGAGGGCAAGGGTCGGCCGTGCTGAGACTGAGGAGGGCCATACCACAATCCTTTGCGGCCCTCAGTACGCTGGGGAGCTCCTGTACACGCTGGTACCATCTCAGCAGCAAGGGGAGATGGGAAAGGGTGGAGGGGGTGTGCTTTTGGAGCGAGATCTGGAATGGAAAGACATAATAAAATATGTAAAAAAATAATCAATGTATGGCTATGAAATTCACATATGAAATTATACTTTGCTTTAAGAAAATGATGACATTTGTGACCCTGGAGCACAAAACCAATCTTAAGTCGCTGGGGTATATTTGTAGCAATAGCCAAAAATACATTGTATGGGTCAAGATTACTGATTTTTCTTTTATGCCAAAAATCATTAGGATATTAAGTAAAGATCATGTTCCATGAAGATATTTTGTAAATTTCCTACTGTAAATATATCAAAACTTAATTTTTGATTAGTAATATGCATTGCTAAGAACTTCATTTGGACAACTTTAAAGGCGATTTTCTCAATATTTAGATTTTTTTGCACCCTCAGATTCCAGATTTTCAAATAGTTGCATCTCGGCCAAATATTGTCCTATCCTAATAAACCACACATCAATAGAAAGCTCATTTATTCAGCTTTCAGATGATGTATACATCTCAATTTCGAAAAAAATGACCCTTATGACTGGTTTTGTGGTCCAGGGTCACATTTAGGACTGTTATAAAGATCAAATGTTTTGTATTGTAATATTTTTTTAATGACAATTAAGTACATTCATTGCAATACAATGGGGAGAAAAAGATATTTAAATTGCAAAATATTTATGCATCATGGAATTATTTGCATGACTTTAATGTAAGCTATTATATACTATATATATATATATATATATCCCAAATATGGTCATTTTATATATATTTTTTTTTTGTTGTTGTTAAACAGCTCACATTAAAATCATACAAATTTACAGCTAGACACAACGCTAAATAAATTATAAATTTGCACATGTATATTAATTAATTCTTAATTATTATTATCATTATTATGCACTTTTTGTGAGATTCATTCAAAACTGAAATCAAGAGCTAAAAAACATTGACAAGTTTAAGAGTAGGTCATATTTCCGAAATCATTATGACAAATGGGCGAGACAGCAGAGGCTCTGTGTGTATGTTGTGCTCCTGTGGAGTTTTCTAAAAAAAAAAGTGTGAATGCTTATTAAAAAATGCGCACTGACAGCAAAATGCTCTGACTTAAGTAACCCATCAAAGTGTTGTGCCCACTGAACCGAGATCAGCTCCAGAGCTGTGATGCTCTATCATCGCTCCGCAGAGGAAAGACGAGGAGAAAGGGATGAGGAGGACAGAAGGAGGGAGACATGCTAGACGGAGTGTGAAACTAGGAGGCACCGATGCGCCGCTGACCACAGAGAGCCAAGAGTGAAAGAACGACAAGAGCAATGAACAATGCAGAGGAGAAAGAACCAGAGAGATAGAGAAATGGATGACGGAGGCACGTCAACTTCACCTCAAAGACACACCACAGGGTGTCTGAAGGGACAAATTCACTATGATATTCTGCTCCCTAGACATCAATTCAAAGTATGCCTGTGTTGTGTAGGTCTATGTCTAGAACATATCAAGGTATCATTCTTGTCCATAACCCTGGGTATGAGCAATAATAGCAGGGTTGTATGACAAATACAAATTTCAATAATTAAAAATAGTAATAAAATGTAAAATAAGCATTATAAAAATATTAAATAGCTGTATGCTCAATCAACCATGTGTGTGGCATTAAAGGGATAGTTCACCCAAAATGAAAATTTCCCCATGATTTACTCACCCTCAAGACATTCTAGGTGTATATAACTTCTTTCAGACGAATACAATTGGAGTTATATAAAAAAAATCCTGGCTCTTCCAAGCTTTATAATGGGCAGCGAATGGGGGTAGAGATTTTGAAGCCCCGAAAAAAACTGCGTCCATCCATCATAAAAGTACTCCACCCGGCTCCAGGGAGTTAATAAAGGCCTTCTGAAGTGAATCAAAGCGTTTGTGTGAGAAAAATATCCATATTTAAAACTTTATAAACCATAATCTCGAGCTTCGTACGCACGTTCACGAGAGAGTGGCGTTCCAGCGGATGACGTAGGATGTAAGCGTATAGCGTAAGCTCCAATGAGAATATGCTAGTCTCGCGAGAACCAAGTTTTGTTTACAGCAAAGGAAAACCAGTCTCCTCACGGCTTATATCGAAATCCTCAGACATTTTTCTTTACAAATCCTCATTTTGTACTTCTAATTCATGACCGCCATTTTGTTTTGTGCTCTCCTCTGCGCTTCCGTGTTTGTCTCTTCTCACCGGAGCTTATGCTACGCCTACATCCTACGTCATCCGCTGGACACCACTCTCTCGTGAACACGCGTATGAGTTAGCGGAAGCTTGAGATTACGGTTTATAAAGTTTTAAATATGGATATTTTTCTCACACAAATGCATCGATTCGCTTCAGAAGGCCTTTATAAACCCTCTGGAGCCGTGAGGAGTACTTTTATGATGGATGGACACAGTTTTTTGGGCTTCAAAATCTCCCCCCATTCACTGCCATTATAAAGCTTGGAAGAGCCAGGACATTTTTTAATATAAGGTTGATTGTATTTGTCTGAAAGAAGAAAGTCATATACACCTAGGATGGCTTGAGGGTGAGTAAATCATGGGGTGATTTTCATTTATGGGTGAACTATCCCTTTAAGTCTTTTCAGGTCATCTCTCTTTTTCTTCACAAAACCAAACTGGAATTTACATTTAGACACTTACAATGGAAGCCAATGGGGCCATTTTTTGATCAATTTAAAAGCAGAAATGGTAAGCTTAGAACTTTATAAAGGCACATGAATTATTCTTTTAAAACAGTCTTAGGGTTTAAGGCATTACAGTGTCAAACTGGATATAACTTTTTAGTTAGCAAGTAGTCTCAGCTTCACAGACCGTTGGCTAAACGTCTGATGCATATGGCACACAAAAGTGGAAAAACTTCAGGAGTTTCGAAGTCGTCATCGGATTGGTTGAATTATACAGGATTTCCGGGAGACGTGCGCTGTCAAGAGCATGCCAAACCAACAGGTGGCGATATAATCGCAACCGTAAAGCCATGTTGGCCAATCAGAAGCCTGAAAAAATCTCCAGTAGGCAGAGATAACAGCGCAGGCGCCGACGTCACAAGCCAAAAACTCCGTTTTTTGCTGTCTACACGATAACACTGCAACCGAAGTTTTCGAAAATTTTCACCCTGGCAGGCGTTTTCAAAAATGTTTGGAACGTTAAAGAACGCGAGTTCGGCGCCTGCGCTGTTATCTCTGCCTACTGGAGACTTTTTCAGGCTTCTGATTGGCCAACATGGCTTTACGGTTGAGATTATATCGCCACCTGTTGGTTTGGCATGCTCTTGACAGCGCTTCATAGCATGCGTTTGCGTTTTCATGTGGACGGAGATTTTTTAAAAACGGAAGAAGGAAAAACTCAGTTTATAAAAATACCCGTGTGGACATGGCGAGTCAAGCTGAAAGAGTTCAGGGACATCAGTGCAATAGAAACTACTGGCCTTATTTAATGCAGGACTGAGAGAATCACCTTGAAGTAGAAGTCACAGAAGCACGAGAGACGTCTGTGTTTGATATAACTTGAAAGCACCTGTGAGCCTCAAAGGTCTATTCCACTGCTAAAACGAATAAATGAATGGCTCTCTTTGTGAGGAATTGTGATTTATAAGTAATGAGATTAAAAAAACTGCTTTCGATTTGTTTGTTTTACCAGGTATTGATGGATGCAGGGCAGCAGGACGACATCGGTGAGGGTGAAATACAGCCCTTCTGCAAACACATGCTCCAGCTCTGGCAGATCTGTGGTCTTGACTTTCCTGATGTCAGAGCGCTCCCTGGTGGCGGGAGCAGAAACAGCATCTGCAGAGAGCTTCGCCAGAGCAGCAGAGAGCTCAACACCTGGATGTGATGGACTCTCCATCTCTGTATTAGGGCCTTTTAGGCGAGAATCGCTCTTCTTCTGCTGTTGTAGCTTCTGTCGGCGTATCTTGTCATCATTGTGGACTTTGACGGGTTCCCCTAACCTCTTCTCTAAGTTCAGGACCGCAGCAGGAAGTCGATACATCTGGTCTTCAGGGTTTCGTAAGTGTTCCTCCACTGCAGAGGGAATGTCCAGCTCACACAATCTAGTCCACTGACTCACCTGAGGAGCAAACGACAGTTAGATATCATTTAATAACAGATACATGTGATGTACGACCCATGAAATAACTGGACGGATAATGTGACATGTCTTTGTAAATTTCCAGAGTTTCATATAATCATATTAATAATATATAATATATATATATTCATATATGAATAATAGATTCACATTAAGCAAACTAGAAATGCACTGATATTAAAATTGCAGCCAGTACTGAAAAGCCGCTAATTATTGACATGTTATGGTCAATAACTGATTAATGTTTGATATTACAAACTGATGCTATTTTCTTAAATTAAAATAAAGCACATAAAAAGGGTTATTTATTTATTTATGTTTTAACGCCATATCAGCAACGATGGCTATATTGAATTGCAATTGTAGGATGTTTAGTTTTCAAAGACTCAAGTGCTTGTAGGCAGGACATTGAATCTGTGCACATTTTTAAAATAAATTTGGTTGTTCCTTTTCTATTTGTTCTAGAGTTAAAAGTAATGCATAAGCTTCAGCTGTGAAAATGTAGTTTTGTCCAGGGATACTCTTGCCAAAACATTATGATCCAATCACTACTGCAGCAGATCCATGTCCATCTGTCTTTGATCCATCTGTGTACACTGGTACATGAGATGCTAAGCTGCATCTTATACTCAACAATTCCTCCTGATAAACCTTTTTTTTTGTACTGAGCCAGGTGCATCATAATAGTTGTTTTTTTAATACTCCAAGGCGATATAGGGCACAGATGTGTCAATGTTATGATATCCATCTTAGGCTGATGATACACAGGGCAACTTTTTGAGCAATGTTGCCAGGGAAATTTGACCTATGTTGCCATCAACGGGCAACCTGATGAGACACAGGGCCCACGACTGATCTAAAGTATCCAGATAGAAATTTGTTACCCATTCTCAGTGGGAATGTACCCAAGCAACATTGCTCAAAAAGTTGCCCCATGTATCATCAGCCTTAATGTCCAAGTTCTCCAAATGGGATTTTATATGGATTCCAAAAGGACTAATGTACCTAGGTCTGGCTTCATATAGGTGTACATTTTGAATGTGGAAGACTGAAGGATATGCTGGATTACTTTTGTTAGCTTAACTTGAGAGCCTGTTTCAATTTGTTATATAGTGAGGGTTCTCTTGCTTCTGTATACAAACTCAGAGCAAGTCTCAATCCTGCATGATGTACTGTGTCCAGCATTTTAATGTATGACTTCCTCGCAGATCCATAAACTATACTCCCATAGTCCATTTTTGATCCAACAAGGGTCCTATAACGTCTCAGAAGTACTTCACAATCTGCACCCTATTTAATCTTTGCTAGCACTTTTATAAACATCTATTTCGCAGCATTTTAATATGAGGAATAAAGGACAGTTTCTTTTCAAAATTAAGTCCTAAGAATTTTGTTGAGAACTTTCATAGGTTCCCTTTCCAAAAAAAAGCTCTGGATCTAGGTCCATAGATCATAAAAGACAAAAATGCATACATATAGTTTTTGAGTCATCGTTTTTTTGACTGAAATTTAAAACCGTTTTGAACTGACCAATCATCCATTTTAATAGTATATTAATATTTTTACCTTTATAACAAATACACACATCATTTACATATAAACTATGGAATATATTAGACCCCATAATACTTACAATACTATTTAATACTAAAAAGAGTTACTGAAAATATACTTCCTTGGGGCACTCCAGATTCTTGTATATGGTTCAAAGAAGATGTCCGCATCAAAATAAATTTACTAAAGTGATTTTATGTCCATAGAAAGCACATTAAACGTAAGTAAAATGTCTACTTTTAAGGTTTCAAATAAGTTTTAGAGAATAAAATGTCAAAATTTGGTTTAAATAATGTTATATTGTCATTCAGTGCAACACAATATTTAAGTAAAAATTCAAACAACATGATTATTCTGATTTGTACATATTCAAATATATAAAAGAATAAGGGAGCATATTAAATTTGATTGTGTTTTAAATGAGTAAAACATTCTTACTGACCAATGGGCAAAACCTAATGTTACACTAAAAATAGTCCGACTGTAAACCGACATCACGTTTGAGTTCCACTTGACTTATGACGTTTATATTAACGAATAACATTTAAAAACTTTAGTTTTTTTTTCTTTCATATATATACTGAGGCATTTATCATGTAACATTCACCGTGTGGCATTATGCCAGTAATGATTTTTTTTTACAGGGGGAAACTGCAAACTGTCTCAGAGACTTCTGTTCATTTTGCAGTGACTTTACAAAGTTAAAACTATGCTGCACAAAAATTATTTTAAATTTTTGACACATGATTTATCTTCTACCGAGCAGTGCGTGAATTATACTGTGAACCGTATTTAATTATTATTATTATTATCATTATTATTACTGTTATTATTAACAAATTATTTTATAGCTATTTTTGTAGTAGCAATTTAAGGTGTCAAAGAAAAGGCACTACAGAACACTTATTCTTTTCACCATGTTATTTATTTATTTTTACTGGCTTCCATGGTATCTGGTACCCAAGGTACCATTGCTATGGTTACCTCCTCACGCCAAATAAATAAATAAATGTAACTTTTGTGGTCAATGAAACGTTTGAATGCACACCTGAAAAAGGTAATGTTTCCTCTTTAATACGTTATTTGAGTTATAAATCTGTCTATGACTTCTAATTTAAAGCTGACTGCATTAGAAATTCATTTTGCAGTGACTTTACAAAGTTAAAACTATGCTGCACAAAATTATTTTAAATTTTTGACACATGATTTATCTTCTACCGAGCAGTGCGTGAATTATACTGTGAACCGTATTTAATTATTATTATTATTATCATTATTATTACTATTATTATTAACAAATTATTTTATAGCTATTTTTGTAGTAGCAATTTAAGGTGTCAAAGAAAAGGCACTACAGAACACTTATTCTTTTCACCATGTTATTTATTTATTTTTACTGGCTTCCATTGTATCTGGTACCCAAGATACCATTGCTATGGTTACCTCCTCACGCCAAATAAATAAATAAATGTAACTTTTGTGGTCAATGAAACGTTTGAATGCACACCTGAAAAAGGTAATGTTTCCTCTTTAATACGTTATTTGACTTATAAATATGTCTATGACTTCTAATTTAAAGCTGACTGCATTAGAAATTAAAGGGATCATATGATGCCATTTCAAGTTTTCCTTTCTATTTGGAGTGTTAGAAGCTGATTGTGCACAGATAAGATCCCTGAAGTTGCAAAGACTAAAGTCTCAAAACCAAAGAGATATACTTTATCAAAGTTAAGACTCCAAATAGGCATAGAGGACCTACAATAATGTACAGTATTTGAAAAATAATGGGATTTCTCTAGAGAATAATCCTGTTTGTAGATCATTCTAATTTTATTCTGAGATTATCTTTCTAGTTGCATCTATAGTCCAATTCAATGAACATATCTAAACTTGGAAAGCTGCTTTACAGTACAAAGGTACACTCTTTCTAACATGTAATTGCTCAACTTCAGATCATTACATTGCTCATATACAGCTATCAGTTTACTTCGGAGAGGCATGGTGGTTTAGGCCCAGCCAAGGAGGCTTCCCATAAAACCTTCAAAGGGTGTGCATATAGTTCATAGTTTACAGCTGAAGATAATAGTATGGTTACACACACACACACACACACACATGTTGGTTTCACTATATCAGTGAGGATATCTCATAGTGGAGATGATGTCTGCTAAACTCTAACCTTAAACCACAAACCTGTTGATATCAGACTTAAAGTTTTTTTAAATAGAGAGAATTGCTTAAAATGTCCTTCAAATTTCACTTTTTTGGCAAATTTCACTATATTTTTGAGGACATTTTCAAAATTTCAAAATATATAACAGGTATAGACAAACCTGTACACACAGAAACAGATCTCCATCAAAACTGACAATTAGGTCTAGTTTGTTACGACATTAATTCAAGTCAACATCACGTTTGTATTCGAGTCAAAATATCACTGAATGCATCAACTAAAGACATTGTTAAAGGTCAGAACAAGTAGAAATAACTCCTTGAGGTAGCAACTGCAACTTTATACAATGAAACAAGGTAAAACATGTAAACAGTAATATCTAAAGTTTGGTTGAGGATCCACATTCACAAAATATTCTAGGTGTAGGTATCCAAATGTGTATTCTCATTGTTCATTTATCACGTGCTTTTATGCAAACGACACACCCAAGTGTGGAATACTACAAATTGAGTGAACAATGCAAGTTCAAAAACACAAGTGCACGAGTGTGCCTGCAAGGGATATTATAATCAACTCAGAGCACGAGGAGAAAAGCCTTTCTCTCTCATCTCTCTTTAAGTGTGAGGCGGGGTCTCTTAGGTTTTTTCTGTCCTTCCCTTTGATGCTGAATTTAACCTCTGCACGAGCTGGGAGGGGGGATGCTCAACAGGCCTCGCAACCATATCATTACCAATTTGTTTGCGACCGGGCACCACTGCTCCCTGGGAGAAAAATACAGGCTTGGTCTGGAGGCAGGAGGCAGGGCTGGAAATAGCACGGAGCGGAGCCAGCCAAGCCATCCATTTACTGTCTCTAGGAGCATGTGGAAGAGATTTTCCCCTGCCAGGTCTCCACCACAAGCATCACCATTAGAGTGCAGGGTGGAGACTGGGAAAACATGCCCCTCTGAACGTGGTTGTACGAAGAGAAGTTTCAGAGACGAGTGTGGGACCAATAGAGCTCGGTTCTGCATGTAGAGCTGCGGGACACAACAGGCAAGTGCTTTTGAATTGGAGAAATCTCTCGTTAAAGCTTTTTGTGAGAACGATTTGCTTGGGAAAAAAACTCTTTTAGTCGGTTTTGATCTGTAATTTAGTTGCATCCACATAACAGTACAAAAGTTATGAGAGATAATGCTATTTTTTGTCTTGTTGCAGTACAGTGAACCAATGTTGTGTACAATCCAATCCATTCGAAGCAGATTTGTAATAAGAACTCATTTCCAATGTAATTATATTTCAGCCTAAATTGATTTGGAGGAAATCAATGCTTTCGTGTTGAGTGATTTGTACAATCCATCATTCGTTCTGCGTCCATCCCGAAGCTCTGTTTACTGTTTGTAAATATTGTATGCCGCCGTAATGAGGGTTATTGAGATGCACTTTGAGTGTGATGGAGCAGAGATGTTCTCAGACCTGAAAGCTTTCAGATAAATAGAAAAGGCCGTTCCTGAAATGCTCTTGTTTCTGGGTTGAGAAGTCACTGCTGGACTCAGACCTGAACATGGATGCTTTTTTTCTGTGTGGCTTTTCTCTAGATGGCATTTTGTAGTTGTGTCAGATGTTTCAGCTTTTAAATGATATGCTTTGCTTTATTTGAATGCACTGAGCACATAAAAGAGGATTAGAGGACGTTTCATATATAGATGAAAGATTTCTAGCCAGAAGACTTAAATATATTAAGTGCATTCAATCATACCAATACTTGCCTTATTCATTTATCATATAATAAAACTGAACATTTTGAATGTCGATTTTCATGGTGAATCTAGATCAATATTGAGAAAAATTGTTTCTTTTTTACAGAAACATTTGATTTGCTGTCATGAAATTGAATTTAAGCATATCAGTGTATCAGCCATTTGACCTTTAAAATGTAACGGATTACTATTATAATGTGCTTCTGTTTTCTTTTTTTAAAAGACGGTTCCAGCCACATCATATGAGAGCTGAAAACGCAGGCCTTTCATAATCACCGCAGAGGAGAGTAACCTACAGTGCCTCACAGGAGAGAGTCTTGGCAGGAAGTCAGTCGTTTGTGGGTAGTTGTGGGTACTCATGGCATCGTCAGACCACCAAGGAAACAAGGACCCCACAAACACAGATGGGACGCCGTCCCCTGGCACATCTTGCCCCGTCCACAGCCACGCTGCTGAAGAAGCGAAGCGGAACGGCTTGAGGAAAGCCCTGGTCAGACATCGAGACTATGTCAAAATCTCCGTGCCTGAAGGAAAGGGCAACCGATTGCCGTCGGAATGGTGGAAGACTTTCATCGCTTTGTTTTATGCTGTTTTGAACCTGGTTTTGACCACGGTTATGATCACAGTGGTTCATGAGAGAGTACCACCCAAGGAGAGCAGCCCACCTCTGCCGGATAAGTTCTTTGACTATATAGGCCGCGTGCAGTGGGCGTTTACAGTGACTGAGGTCAATGGAATGGTTCTGGTGTCTATATGGTCCATTCAGTTGCTCTTTCACAGATACAAGTACGAGGCATCACTCAAAATTATACTGATGACATTGTAGCCTGTTAATCAGCTCTGTTAGATTACATTTAATGGATTGTTGGGGTTATGTTTAAGATAATGTAGGGCAAGGTGAATGAATAGTCTTGAGGGCAGTTATACAAATTTATTCTGCATTGAGGAAATAAATCTAATGAATATTACCAACTTTATGGCATTAAAAAAGGTAAAAAATTAAAGTTTAAAACTCTTGAAAAAGGCACTTGTAATAGGATCTTAACCTTCTGAAAATGTTGTTCATCAATTTCAGGTTGTCATACAAAATATCATTTATGTTCTTTATATGAGGTTTAGCATTGATAAATGAATAAATAAATAAACAAACAAATAAATAAATGGTAATGGGAAATTTACATTTCTCATCAATTAAAAAAAAGGTTCCATCATTTTTTTTTTATAACTTTTATAACAATTTTAAAAACGGAATTTTCAAAATGGAAAATGGAATTATTTACTTGTCTTACTGCTGTCCTACTGACGTTACTTCTTACATATTTTTTGTAATATTGCACAGCTACATATTAACAACTTACAAATAAAAACAACAACAACAACAACAAATAATAACCATTTCAAGATGTGTGACTATTATCAAATCTAATATTCAAATCTAATAGTTCTCATTCCAAAGAGCATGCTATTTGTACCCTAGTTATTCTCTATTCATGGATAGAGCATTATAAAAAGGCGTTGAAGGCTCAGCAATCTCAACCTAACCCAAATCTGTTTAATGATGACAAAAATGAACTTTTTTATTTTTCTGTTCCATATAGGGCTATTATAGCAAGACGATATTTCTTCCTTTTGGGCACATTGTATATGTATAGATGCATAACCATGTACATCACCACTCTACCCGTGCCTGGCATGCACATGGTCTGTGCACCAAAGGTAAACGCCGATTTTAAAAAAAATTGATATATTTCAGCTGTTCCTCTTTGTCATGATCCCCTCAGGATCTTATACCTAGATAATGTAAGATAAGCAAATGCATTTGGCTTTTAGATCTGTAATATCCTCTGCCTTCCTGAAGACAAATATTGCAGGCTTTACAAAGGCTTCAGATTCTATCAGTTTATGGAATGATTTTTCAATTCACGATTCATGTCACCAACCACTCATCTTTCAACATTCAATATCCTCACTCATTTCTTCTTTCCTGCATCTCTCATGCAGCTTCAAGGGGATTCCCAGGCAAAGCTGCAGCGTGTTCTGCAGTTGCTCTCTGGTGGTGGATTATCAATCACTGGATCTCATCTGTTGTGCGGCGACTTCCTCTACAGCGGCCACACTGTCATTCTCACACTCACGTACCTCTTCCTCAAGGAGTGTATGTCACTTTCTCAGACGGCTGACTTTATTTTAAGACACAAATACAAAGACTGTCTGCTAATTACAGACTTGAGGTCACTGTAAGCAATTTTAGATTCTGTTTTTAGCCATTCAGAAGACACCGAGACACTTTCTGACCATTCATTTAGCATGTTCAAAGAGCAACCCATTATGATTCATAACTGATTCTTTGTTTCTCTCTAGATTCTCCTCGTTCTTTCTGGTGGTACCATCTTCTGTGTTGGTTAACGGCTGCTGTGGGTGCCATGTGTATCCTGGTGGCCCATGAGCACTACAGTGTGGACGTGGTGGTGGCGTATTTCATCACCACCCGACTGTTCTACTGGTATCACACTATGGCTAATCTGCAGGTACATTCATCAGTAACATGAAACAATAGAAATGCTTGAATAAGGCTTTTATTAAATAAGGATTTTGGTGGTCTTCCTGTAATCTATTTCCAAGTAAAAAAGGCAATCTGGGTGGAACATATCAGATGATGTCAATAATATTTTTGTCCATTTTTACAGATGAGAAAACAACTTGTTCACTATTGTTCAAGGGGATTTTTTTTTTTAGTTTTTGAAAGACGTTCACCAAGGCTGCATTTATTTGATCTAAAATACAGTAAAATAGTAATATTGTGTTTTCTATTGTAATATATTTTAAAATGTTATTTATTGCTGTGATGCAAAGCTGAATATCCAGCATCATTACTCCAGTCTTCAGTGTCACATGATCCTTCAGAAATCATTCTAATATGCTGATCTGCTGCTCAAGAAATATTTCTTATTATTATCACTGTTGAAAACAGTTGCTTAATACTTTTGTGGAAACCATGATTTTTTTTTTTGTCAGGATTCTTTAAAGAATAGAACGTTCAAAAGCATTTATTTGAAATGGAAAACTTTTGTAACACTATAAATGCCTTTATTGCCACTTTTGATGAAATTAACGCATCATTGCTAAATAAAAGTGGACATTTCTTAAGAAAAAAATCGTACAGACCCCAAACTTTAGAACAATAGTCTACCTCAAAGCTGTGAAACGTACGCTAAAAGGCACTAAAACGGCACTTCATGGGGTCTAAATGTGTACTTTTTGCATTAAAATACGTTCTTGTTCACATATTTTGATAAATTTTCATTTTGCATATTGTTGATCTTTTTGATCTCCAGCCTCATGAAGACAACTACAAACACACACATCTGAAACCACAGCGAAGCTCTCAGCTCAATTGCGATTTCGATTCAGGGTGTCACTAAACCCAAGGCACCAAAACGGCACTAAGCCTTTCACTGAGAGTGTTTCCATGACTCCGAGTACACTGAGAATATCCAAATCCATTAGGTCGAGCATCTGAGAAATGACTCCCTGATGATGGTAAAGTGCTGCACATTCGATTGAAGCCAATCTAGATATTTTGAACAGGAAAATTCCTTTCAAACTAGCAAAACACATCATGATTATTCATACTGTTACAAGCAAAGTAGCCCATGATATCAAAACTGTCATATCTCAGAAAGGATATTTATGGTGGTTAAAAAGCATCCACAAAATAATAAAAAAAACTGAAATGCAGTGTGCGGTTGAGATTTTTGGACTGGTGTCTGTGTCCTGACGTGGCTCCAAGGCTTCTGTCCTCAATGATAACAGTGATTTTTATGAAATTACTCAATTACTTTGGAACCAAAATATCATATCAAATTTCACAGAACTGCTTTTTGTCATTTAATCTCTCAACTGCAGTGCATTTATATCCTGTGCATTGCCACTTCTGTTTTTAGAAAACCAGAAGTAGTCAGTCATCTGACCATGCCAAATAAAAATTAGTGTGTCAGATTGGTCGAGACGCTACAACAATGTTCTGTCTTTTTATTTGAATTCATCCTAATTATGATTTTAATTCATATTTTCATGTTTTCTCCAGACATTAAAGTGTTCTCCGAACAACTACCTCACTCATACATGGTGGAACCCCGTTTTTAACTTCTTTGAGAGGAACGTTCAGACCCATGTGCCCTGTTCTTTCTGCTGGCCGATCACATGGCCGCCTGCCTGTCTGAAGAACCCCTGTAAGAAATATTCCATGGTGCAGAGCGGCCGGGAGGAGTGACGTCGTGAATTCATCACAATGCCTAGACCAACATGTGGAAATGTTTTATATTTCGCTTGTGGCCATCTCAGTGTTTACACCATACCAAAGACCAAAGACTGTTTGGCTATTGTTGCTAATTACATCTCTTATAACACTGGGCCAAACAGTTCATGATAATCAAAATATTGTAAAACTCAATATTATTTGACAAGTCATTGTTGATATTTTTACATTCAATTATATTCAGTCAGTGTGGCCTTTTAAATAAACACTTTTGAAAGTATCTGAAGGGCCTACGGAAAGTGTTATGTTATAAACAGATCGCTTTCTGTCAAAACAGATCTATTTGTTTGTGCATGCTTCTTAGTTGTCATATTTTTCCTTGTCTGTTTATTTAATTGTCATCTAAACATATGTTTGTCATAAAAGGTGTTGTTTAACAGGGTTTCGTTAATTTTATACACAGTGTTATATTAGAAATGCATGCATTCTTTTTCTAATGATTCACGCCTACTGTTATTTTCAGTTCTTAAAAACTGAATGACATTATGGAAATAAATGGTTTACAATAACACCTAGCGCGCCTCATG